AGCGGTTATCGCCTCACTGATGCTGTAGAAACCTCGTTCCAGGGCCGAAATGCAAACAGACCCGCCTGCCAACCTGAGAACGCCGACGCAATACCAGGCCAGGGTGCAAAGCGCCTGTGGCTTTTTCCCGTTGTGCTGAATTTAAGACCGGCGTGTGACGCAAACCACGAGCTGTCGTCATCACCGTTGCAATGCCGCAAAGTTCAAACAATCGGCGTGGAAAAACTTTGATTGCCAACTTGCTGGTGGTCGTCCCCTCAACCGACGTTCGTCGCTTTCAAGAAACTGACTGTTGAAGGACTAACGACCGCGTCTCAGGACGAACCTCGATCTGGACACTTACGCAACAACTCAAATTGTCAACGACGCTCCAAGTGCAATCGCTAATTGCGACCTCAAAAATGGTCCATAACACAGCAACAGTATTCAACAGCAGTATTTTACAAAAGTTGCTCCTTGCGTCGAGTCCTACACTTTCAAGATAATTTTATTTTTTACTGTGTTCATTTATTCCTTAAAACATATACCATAATGTATTCGTAATTTGCTTATTTTTAATGTTGTTTACTACCCTCAGGTTAGAGGTCAGCAGTCCAGGGCGATTCCTCTGAAGCAAATACATCGAATATGATGGTCGTCTGCATAGTCATAGCAAAGTAAGAAGCTAGTTTCCTGCTGAAGAGAATTAGCAATAAATTCGGTAAACGTCGTTTAGGTCATGAAGGAGCGAATCGTTGCTATTGTCGAATATTTTAGTGGAATGCGAAGGCACTTTATATGACCCCTTTATTCAAAATATAAAATCTATCAGTTAGAATACATTTTGTGAGAAACGAAGGGTAGAAAAATTGGAGGTAGTTGAGTGACATGAAATGCTAGAATTTTCTGACTGTGTATTTCAGCGCACAAAAAACGGAACTTATTTTTTACCTTCAGTTTAGTCCGTTGCACTTACCTAATTTTAGAAAACAGTAATGTTGAATCTTTGCTCTCCTATACGCTATTAGTGTGGATGGAAGGGGAATCTGTCACCTACGTGTTCATCTCATCGCCGAAAGATCCCATGATAGGGTTAAACAGGTAAATTGATGAATACTACTGTGTGAGAAGGAAGCCGAAGACTATATGCTGTTATGGCCAGGTAGTTTTATTTATTTTCTAATCTTCATTCACCACAATTCTGCGCTTCTAAGTATGTTTAAGTTCTGCAAGCCTTTGGTGACGATGAGATGATAACAATTGCAAGTTATATTTAGTTTATTAATTACTGTTATCCACGAACAATATCATGTCTGCAAACAGGAGAGCAAGTACGAATTGTAGTATTAGGTACTCGCATTAAACAGCCTGATCCTACATCTAGCGAGAACACCACGTGGCCCTGTTGTTCGCAAGTCAGTAACATGCTAACGGAATCTCGTCTGGAACCACCGAAGCAATGGTCAGTGGACTCCTTGATCAGGAGGAATTAGCGTTTTTAATAAGAAGGCCAATTCTGTTGTTGCCGGTCCAAAATCTGGAGGAGAAAGGAGGAGAGTTTGAGACTCCGGCAAAGTCTTCCGGCAGGGAGCCACGCAGGCCATTTGATAACTGAAGCAGGCTACAAAAAGTCGGAGATCAGAACCTGCTTTTCGCCTTCTGGAAACAGGGGGTGTCGCAACAGGGCAATGGCTACCGAAAGTCGTCAAAATGAGGACTGAAATACCCGACAGCAATGCAGCCGTTACCCCATCTGAACTGAGAGGGCAAACAGGACGAATATAGAACGTTAGATAAGGCTGTACAAAAACGATTTCGACAGTGAGAGCTAGCAGTTGGAAACTGGAACGTCCCCTCACTCAGAGGGAAAGATCAGGAGCTAGTTGATGAGGCCGCAAGATACTTCTCCTCAATCAAGCGTTGTCTCCAGAATTCTTAACCGTTTCGGGTGGAAGCTGTTCTACTCGGATGTCGACTTCGCAATACGCGCTCAAGCCAGTGTCCATGTACTGGCAGAACCCAACCTGCCTGACAAAATCATTGAATAGAAGCCCATCAGCGGAAGAGTGGCAATCATCCGATCAACTTATTGTTGGCACCTCCGTTGTAAACGACGGATTACCATTCGAAGACCAGCTGAAAGAGGCAACCAGAGAATCAAATGGAAAATAATGCCTTCATTCGGATATTACGACAAAACTTACAAACAACATCGCATGATGGTTTGAGGTTTGCACAAATCCAGGTGATGTTCGCTGGTGTTCCTGCCTGTAAGGCCAGAAATTAATTTCGTGGTAGACATAAGAGGCTTATCTAGCAGTCAGCGAGAATGAGGCTGCATTGAAGAGATCGCTTGAAAGTAAAGAACCTATAAGTCGAATGCAGAACGAAAAAGCGCTCAAAGTAGCAGCGAAGGGAGTGCCAAATCGAAAAATGATTCCTCTGAAAAGTTCATTGAGCTCATAGAACTTCCATACGGCAAACTGCGTATTCAGGCAGACCATCCGCTGACTCAATGGCTGTCTGAAAATCCTGAAGGAAAGCCTGGGCGCCATCGTACCAAGCATGAGGATGTACTTTAGCGGTTGAGAAAATACTTCGAGGAACTCCTTAACCCTGAGCAACCGCAAGAAGCTTCGCCTGAAGAGCAGCAGGATATTAGTCCTTCAGTAGATGAAGTCATTGAAACTGTAAAAATGTTGAAAAGTGGGAAGGCTGAAGGAATCGATGAAATTCGACCTGAAATATTTAAAGCTTGAGGCGAACATGTGCAAAGCCTCTGTAACTACAGAAATGACATAGGTAGTTTCAAGAACGGGAAGTTAGTAGCCCTGTTGAAGATTGGAGTGCTCCAATTATTGGGACATCGTCTTATTGAACCTCACCGGTAAAATCTACGCAGAGGTGTTAGGAAAGACATAGCGCGGAATAAGAGGCCATAACACAAGAAGAGTACTGTCTTCAGGTCAAGCCGATGAACCAACCTCTGACCAGATCTTCACCTCATCCTAAGATTTTGAAAAATCGTTGGAGTTTGCTCATATGATTTGTATATGCTTTGTAGATTTGGAGCAAGTCCATCACTGGATCCCTCTCATTACGTTATGTACCGCACAGATGCTATTAGCCAATCATCCATTTATGTGGATTGTAAGTGCTGCGTCAGAGCAATTGGTGTCAGGTCAAGACCCTTCATTAGTGGTACTGGTTCCTGCCAAAGTTGAATTCATC